CTGCCACAGAGGCAGGGGGGGATGAGGGGATGGGGGTGGGGGGGATATTATCCATGGTGGTGGAAAATGGGCACTGGTGGAGGGATGGGTATCTGATCATTGTATAATCAGACCCAAGCACAAAAAATTGTAAATCTACAACTGTACCTCATGGTGTTTCACTAATAAAAAAAATTAAAAAATAAAGTTTCCTTCCCATATATGAATCCTTCTTACGTTATTTGATAAGTATACAATTTCTTGTATTATAAATTTTTTAGTTGAAAGGGAAGTCTCAGCCACAGGAATCTGAGTGCGATACTTTTGTGGTAACTTTTGGGGACATCTCCATTTGGGGCATGGATAGGAGTAGGTCCGGATAAGCTGCGGTGTCATTTCGGCAATGCCGATGTCACTGCTGACCAGGCTGCTCAGGAGAAACACTGTGGGGATAAAAGTTGTTCAACGGAATTTGTGTACTGTCACCAAGTAGTACCTACACAGGTAAGAAAACCAGTTTCTGGAGGTGGTATCCAGTTCTTGAATGGGTTTGCTCAGGAGTGAGGTAATGATCAACCACTTTGCAAGATGGGCCAGAGGCAACTTTCACGTCTCCACCAGAAAAAAGCCTCAGGTGATTATGTGTAGGGAGTTAACAGTGGAAATTTATTATTTTTTTTTTTGCTGTTTTTGGGTCACACCCGGCGATGCACAGGGGTTACTTCTGGCTCATGCACTCAGGAATTACTCCTGGCGGTGCTCAGGGACCATAGGGGATGCTGGGAATGGAACCCGGGTTGGCCATGTGCAAGGCGAACGCCCTCCCTGCTGTGCTGTCGCTCCAGCCCCAACAGTGGAAATATTTTCTATCAATTTATTTAATACCCCCATTGCAGATGAGCAGAAGAGCTGCACCTGGTCCTTTCTCATTCTGCACATTTAGTCTATCCTCAGATAATGACCTCTCTTTGCCTGTAATACGTGAAACTTCATAGTCTTCTTTGGCCATCTCTGTACTGAACATCTATTTGAAGGTGTTTATTGAGCATTGCTAGGAGGTATTTAAAATATACTTAGTCATACAGACCCTATAGTTTGTCAAACTAATGGTAATCAACAATCATAGGAATGAACATAAAATTGTCCTTGCAACAGTTGCTTGAAGAGGAGATATATAGATCTGTAATGGTGAAATCCTACCTGGTTAGAACAAGCAGAAGGGAGATGTTAATCTGTGTATGTGTTAATCCCTATTTACACTGGATGAAACCCTGGGTAAAGGGTAGAATAGAAAAGGAAAGACAAGGAAATTGTCTAGTCAGGTAGAGGTTAAACAGAAGCAGAGAGATAATGTGTCAGTGAATTTGAGGGAACCAGAAGAGGACTAGGAGCTGAGCAAGGAGAAGTGTTTATCACTAAAGGTTCAGTTGAAAGAAAAGAGTCCAGTTAGGACTACGAAGAACATAAGCTGGGACAGAGTGCTCTCGGGAACAACAGGATCACAGAATTCCCCACTACGTTGCAGGGGTCATGATGTGCTAGAGCGGGCCTGGATCCAAATTTGGCTGCTCCCCTTTAGCTGTGGGGCCTTAAGCAAAAGGCTGCCTGGCCTCAGAATCTGCATTGAAAAATGGGGATGGCAGTAACACAACCACAAAGTGTGATGCGATGAATGAAATGAGTTAGCATATGCTATGTATCTAGTCCGTGGTGGGTGTATCCAGTAAAGACTGATTCCTTTCATTCTACCCCAGTTCACTTGTTCATTTTTTGGTTGTCACTGTCTTTAATGTCTTAGCCTTGGTGTTGCTGATTCAGCTGCCAGGACCAGTACAGGGCCTGTCCCTTTATCTCCCTTTATTAGCCTGGATGTCAATATCTGTTGTGAGCTCACAAAGGAGTGTTCTGGGTACTGTTGGAAGCACAGTTCCTGTGTGCCTCCTGGTATTCAGACAGAAAGAAAATCACTGGGTGAGCACACAATGTACCCTCTTTTACTGTACAGAGTTATTTTTCCCCTTCCGGGGAGAGAAACTCCAACGACCTCAGTGAACACCTAGTTCTTGTCTCTGTACAGTACAACCATCTCCATTTGCACTTCTGCAGTTGCATAAATCTCCAATGCAAAGTATTAGCAGACTTAAGTGACTCATCACAATTTAAGATGTTTTTCCCCATGGAGGCAGCAGGCACCCCCCCACCCCCGCCCCCCAACCCCAATCCCACCAGATTTTTCTTACTAGCTGGAAGTAGCCATTCCTTCCCTTCCTTCACAGTAGATTATCAAACACAGGAAATAAGGAAAGTATAGAAAGCAATTTTCCATAGGCAGAAGAAATTGCTTGCCACCTCTATTTTTACAGTGTAAATCTGGTTTTAGCAAATATATTAGACACCTATTGAGAGATCAAGTAATTCAAGCACATTAGGTTAACCAAACCCAGAAAACAAGAGACTGACAAATATTTATGTTGTGCTTAATACAGGATACTAAACTTTTAAACCCCAAAGAGCCAGCTTTCCTTCCTTCCTTCCTTCCTTCCTTCCTTCCTTCCTTCCTTCCTTCCTTCCTTCCTTCCCTCCTTCCCTCCCTCCCTTCCAGGACTGTACTATTGCTCCAGCCACTAATCTGTGTTTCTAATGAGTGTATATTTCATTTCTCATTTTCTAAAGAGCCATGTTTTCCAACTAAGCATGAGGACATAACATTTCATAAGCAAGAGAGTATTTTTAGGGCAAGATACATTATTATTATTAAAATTGATGAACAATGGGAAGACAGTGCTATTATTATTATTATATTATTTTATTATTATTATTATTATTATTATTGAGCTGGAGCAATAGCACAGCGGGTAGGGCATTTGCCTTGCATGAGGCCGACCCGGGTTCGATTACTCAGTTCCTCTCAGAGAGCATGGCAAGCTACTAAGAGTCTCCTGCCCGCACCAGAGCCTGGCAAGCTCCCTGTGGGGTATTCGATAATGCCAAAAACAATGACAACACAATGGAGATGTTACTGGTGCTTGCTCCAGCAAATCGATGAACAATAAGACGACAGTGCTACAGTGCATTATTATTATTATTATTATTATTATTATTATTACACTATCTCTTGTTTTTGTGACCCACTCTGCATTGCTCAGGGCTTACTCTGTCTTACTCATGCTCAGGGATCACTACTGGATAATTCAGGATACTAAACTTTGAGCCTGCCTTCCTCTCTCTCTCTCTCTCTCCATCCCCCTCCTTCCCTCCTTCCCTCCAACCCCGCCCTCTCAATGCTGGGGAACACTAGGCGTGGAGTTGCCTTGGTAAGGCAAGTGTGCAGACCCCTGTGCTATCTCTTCCACCTCTCCTACCCCCCCACCCACTCCCCCTCCCCACGCCCCACACACTATTTTCATTGGCATCATGACCAAAATTCCTGGGCTTGGGATTTGATGAGCTTTGAACCGTGGGTGGCGTTTTCTTAAGGACACCTACGCGCATGCCACTTTGAGAAGGGGCCCTGTGAAACAGCTTATAGACCAGAGGACCTGCAAGAGAGCAGAAGGAAAAGGCAGGCGAAGAGGAAACCGAGACCCCTCGCAGCGCCCCGCAGCCAGCGCGCGGGGTGTGGCCAGGTCCCAGGCGGCGCCCAGCCTGGACACTCTGGACACCGCCCAGAGTTCTGCATGGAAGCTGGCGCGTTGGAGTGTCCAGGGCAACGCGACGCTTCCGACTTCTGGAAGCTTGGAGTCAGGCTCGTGTTAGTGTGGGGGTCTTCTGGGTGGGAGGGACCTGGCTGGGGTGGGGGTGGGACGGATGGGGACCAGGAGGCCCGAGGGGCCAGGGGAAGCCGCTGGGAATATTTGCCCGAGGGACTGACGCTGAAGCAAGGTGCTGGACCAGAGGATCATTTCATTTCAGTCCTTTTGCCCACGCAGGGAACAACGATGCCTCTGGAGGTGGTGGTGGAGCTGCAGATCCGGGCGGTAAGAGCGATCAGCGGGGTCCTCTCCTCCGAGTCAGACTTTCCCAGGGTTTTGTTTGATTCTTTGTTTTGGGGCCATGCCCAGCGTTGCTCAGGAATCACGCCTGGCTGTCCTGGGGAACTCCAAGGGGTATCAGGGATGGAACCCCGTTGGACGCGTGCAAAGGTAGGGCCTTACCCGCTGTATCCTCTCAGGCCCCTCCCAAGGCCCTGGGGTCTTCATCTTTTAGCACAAATTCTACCTCTATCTCCGAGATTCACAACCGTGGTCTTCCCTGATTGAAGTCAGTTCAAGCCCTTCCACCTTTCACCTCTAAAAGTGGATGTTTCTTAGCGTTTACTCTCTGCTCTCTGAAAATAACCCCACCTTACATCTAATAAGGCTTTTCTTTTCTAAGATTAAGATCTGTGAATTCAATAACCTCTCCTTTAGATGATTCAGGGAGAATTTAATTTCAAAAAGCCATCGTTTGTTCCTGATTATTTGCCACCCTTAGAAAATGATTGATTGTGAACCAACTAATCAATTGAAAATGATTGGTTCACAATCAATCATTTTCTAAGCTATTTCCCAACTAGCAATGGCTCCGGCTTGCTAACTCCAAAAGGGAAATTGACTGATCTACTAATCAACAATCACCTACCAAGTCCTGCTGAAATGAGGTGCTGTGGCAGAGTAACACATTGTTCCAATTGCAGGCAGTGCTTTCTCTTACTCCACTTCCATTCTCTAACCCTTCCAACTGTAGTTACTGATAGCCTGTTAGGTAGACTTGCCTTCAAACCATAGGGGGTTCCCTACCGGACTTGGTGAAGTGTGCATTGCCAAAACGTATTGGCCAAAGGAAAGTCTGGTTAGTTTCAGTACATGTAATGAATGCTGTGGCTTCAATCATACATGTAGCTTAGAAACGAAGATAATCAATGTTTCTTGGATTGCCCCCACTTAGCTGCCAACAAAGAGCCAGATTCGATTAGTTGTGCTGTATCAGAACTGCGTGGTTTCATCCCTAAGTAATAAATCATTCTCTTCATCAAGGCAGAAACGATCAACTCACTTTATTCAACACCACTGGTAGTTTTATTTGGATTTTCAAAGGCATTCCTTAATGCACAATGAAATTTACAGCAAAATAAATTTTCTACTCTATGGTATTTCGAATGTCCCCCAAACATTTGGTAAATTGATCTGTGCTTTAAGGTATTTAAAAGTCAAGAAGCTCAGACAGCATCAGATAAAACAGGAAATTCCAGTGCCCCCAATGTTCAGACTTTTCAACCCTGCATGAGGCAATGCCACTGCTTTCAAATACCTGGACTGAATTTGTTCTAATTAAAATAAAGAATCTCTCTAAGGTTAAACTGCATAGATGTCACAGTTTGGTGTGATCAGTAAGTGAAGAGGTAGTCTGTGTTCAGGATTAAATAAATAATCTCATTTTATTTAATTTTACTAATTTTATTTTGTAGAACAGCCATTCCTCTTTCCATGTGCCTCTCATCCATAGAAAATTCATGCATCCACCCATTAAGAACCCTCAGGATAATCATTCTCCATATTCATAATCCTACATTTAGAAACAAAATCACTGGTCATTAACATATCTGAAGACACCAGTTCTAAAGGTAACTTAAAGGTTCTTATTTTCAGGTAGAACAGCATTTAAATCCTATGCCCTTTTCGTTGTTCCCTCATCAAAGAATTGTGAGCAGTACACTGTGTTGGCTCAAAGAATAATGTCCCTCTACTCTGCATTTGTAATCTTTCGTCTTGATTTGGAGAGGGTCCATTAGCTTATTTAAAGGTAACGGGACTTTAAATAAAAGTTTATGAGCTAGTTATATCTTGGACCTAGGTGTCAGCAGGCACACCGTAAGTACTGTTACTATAAGTTTGCTCTATATAGGGGAATGGAACTCTGTAAGAGAAGCCATTAAAATATAGCGGCATCCTCTTGGAATGCATAAGAAAGCTGACACTGCAAAGATCTAGGGTATTTTTCCATATCAAAGAGAAAGCACTCTTTATTCAGCAGTGATCTGACAGACAATAGGGACCCCTTCTTCTCTGCTGGTCCATTGATACAAGGGATCAGTTTTATGACTCTCAAGCTTTCCATTTCTCTCACTTCCCTAGTGACTTGGCTTTTCTGTCGTGTCAAGCCAACTATTAGTTACCAGAATTAGACATGAGGCCACAGTCCCATCCTTTCCTCTGTAGATAAGCCCGGTCTTTAAGTGCTTCTTTAAGTTCTTGACTTGGGTTTCTGAACTCTGAAAGTGTGTAGTAGAAAGAAATGGGAAATAAGTATTTTAAATACTTCTTTTGAAGAAGTAAGGAAAGAAAAGCATATACTATCATCTCTGTTCTTACTACCCAATCTGCAAAGACGGGAAAGACAATAAAGTGCGTAAGCTTACCAAGAAAACCGGGATTAAGAAGAAATCTGCCCAAACGTAGCAACAAGTCTTCAGGGAATACACCAGAGAAACATTTGCCTTAGCCGCTTAAAATATTGTTTAAATGTACTTCAGGAAAAAGAGTAGGATTGATAAGTGGTTCATCTGCATGTATACTTAATGTTTTCTCAAAGTTTAAATTACAAGCGATATGCGGATGGGGTTACCACCACACAGATTTTACTGATGTCAACTATTAAAAACCATCAAGGTTGTAATCACCCCAGCTTGGCTTCGTTGCAGTCTCATGGAGACAGACAGTCAAAGAATATCAATGGGATACAATAAAGGCTTTTTTTTTTTTTTAACTGATGTCAACTATTAAAAACCATCAAGGTTGTAATCACCCCAGCTTGGCTTCGTTGCAGTCTCATGGAGATAGACCGTCAAAGAATATCAATGGGATACAGTAAAGGGTTTTTTTTTTTTTTTTTTTTACTGATGTCAACTATTAAAAACCCTTCGTTGCAGTCTCATGGAGATAGACAAAGAATATCAATGGCATACAATAAAGGTTCTTTTTTCCCAAGGAGGTCTGACACCCCCAATCCCAATCCAAACTGGGCTTGGAATGTCTTAAGAGAGAGAGAGAGGCGAGCTAGAAGGATGCTGGTTCGTGCCAGCATCACCCCCCGGGGCCATCCGGAAGGAGCCGGGTCACTCCTGGCTCCAGAAGGCGAAGAGGACCGCAGCATTCTGCGGCGAGAGCCAGCAGTGGTCCACGATGCTGTAGGTCATGTAGCCCAGCAAGAAGCCGAAGGCCACGTCGCTGACGTTGTGCCGGCCCAGCATGACCCTGGAGAGGCCCAGGACGAGCGCCCAGAGCACCACCAGCACCCGCAGCGGGACGGCCAGCACCAGGTGGTTCAGGACGAAGCGGGCCACCAGGGCGGCCCGGGTGGCGTGGCCCGAGGGGAAGGAGAACTTGTCCACGGAGACGGCCAGGAACATGTCCATCTGGTTGTGGGCGGGCCGGCGGCGGCGGACCAGCGCCTTGAGCAGGCCCACCAGCAGCAGGTCCAGCAGCAGGGCGAAGAGCAGGTTGGTGAGCACCTCGCGGCCGGCCGAGCTGCGGCTCCGGGCCAGGCAGTAGCCGGTGCCCAGCAGCCAGGGCACGCCGTGGCCCGAGACCTCCAGCAGCTTCATCAGGGGCCGGGCGCTGCCCCAGGCCGAGCCCTCGGCGGCGCACACGCCCAGCCGCTTGGAGAGCCCCAGGTCCACGGCCAGCAGCGCGCGCAGGGCGATGTCCAGGCAGGACGGGCGCGGGTGCGGGGCGCGGCGGTCCCCGGCGGGCGCGGGCGCGGCGGGCGCGGGCGCGGGGCCGGGGCCGGGGCTGGCCGCGGGGAAGGAGCCGCGGCGGCGGCGCGCGGGGCTCTCGGCCGGGCGCGGCCGGGCGCAGCCGGGGTCCCCGCCGGGGACGCGGCCGCCCAGCAGGGCCTGGAACTCGAACCGGCCGCCGCCGCGGGCCGGGCTGCCGGGGACGCCCCCGCCGCCGCCGCCGCCGCCCGCCAGCGCCGCGCCCAGCGGGCGGCCCTCCGCGGCCCTCCGGGGACTCGGCATCGCGGCGCCCTCCCGCGCTGGACCCCCGGCCCGCGGAGCCGCGTCCCGGGCCTCGGCCGCTTCCGCTTCCGCGGGGCGGGCGGGGGAGGCGCCGGGGACGCGTCCGACACTGGCGCGCGCCCGCCCGCCCGCGAGGAGCCGGGGTGCCCGGGGCGGGGCGGGGCTGGGAGCGGGGTGCGGTGGGTCGCGAACGGAGGTTCGTGAAAGGGAAAGTGGGTGGGGGTTGTCTCGGGACGCAGGAGTCGGGAGGCCTGTGTGTGTGTGTGTGTGTCTGTGTGTGGCCTTGGAAAGTACAGGTGAAGGGGTGTGGGGTGTGTGTGTATTTGGCCTTGGAAAGTACAGGTGAAGGTGTGTGTGTATGTGTGTGTGTGTGCCTGTGTGTGTATTTGACCTCGGAAACTACAGGTGAAGGGGTGTGTGGGGTGTGTGTGTGTGTGTGTTTGGCTTTGGAAACTACAGGTGAAGGTGTGTGTGTATGTGTGTGTGTGTATGTGCCTGTGTGTGTATTTGACCTCGGAAACTACAGGTGAAGGGGTGTGTGTATGTGTGTGTGTGTGTGTGTGTGTGTGTGTTTGGCCTTAAAAAGTACAGGTGAAGGTGTGTGTGTGTGTGTTTGGCTTTGGAAAGTACAGGTGAAGGGGTGTGGGGTGTGTGTGTGTGTATGTGTGTGTGTGTTTGGCCTTGGGAAGTACAGGCGAAGGGGTGTGTGTGGGCTGTGTGTGTGTCTGTGTGTGGCCTTGGAAAGTACAGGCGAAAGGGTGTGTGTGTGTGTGTGTGGGTGGGTGTGTTTGGCCTTGGAAAGTACAGGTGAAGGGGTGTGTGTGGGCTGTGTGTGTGTCTGTGTCTGTGTGTGTGTATTTGACCTTGGAAACTACAGGTGAAGGGGTGTGTGGGGTGCGTGTGTGTATTTGGCCTTGGAAAGTACAGGTGAAGGGGTGTGTGGAGTGTGTGTGTGTATGTGTGTGTGTGTGTTTGGCCTTGGGAAGTACAGGTGAAGGGGTGTGGGGTGTGTGTGTGTGTATGTGTGTGTGTGTTTGGCCTTGGGAAGTACAGGTGAAGGGGTGTGTGGAGTGTGTGTGTATGTGTGTGTGTTTGGCCTTGGGAAGTACAGGTGAAGGGGTGTGTGTGTGTGTGTGTGTGTGTGTTTGGCCTTGGAAAGCACAGGTGAACGGGTGTGTGGGGTGTGTGTGTGTGTGTGTTTGGCCTTGGAAACTACAGGTGAAGGGGTGTGTGTGTGTGTGTGTGTGTGTGTTTGGCCTTGGAAAGCACAGGTGAACGGGTGTGTGGGGTGTGTGTGTGTGTGTGTTTGGCCTTGGAAACTACAGGTGAAGGGGTGTGTGTGTGTGTGTGTGGGTGTGTTTGGCCTTGGAAAGTACAGGTGAAGGGGTGTGTGTGGGCTGTGTGTGTGTCTGTGTCTGTGTGTGTGTATTTGACCTTGGAAACTACAGGTGAAGGGGTGTGTGGGGTGCGTGTGTGTATTTGGCCTTGGAAAGTACAGGTGAAGGGGTGTGTGGAGTGTGTGTGTGTATGTGTGTGTGTGTGTTTGGCCTTGGGAAGTACAGGTGAAGGGGTGTGGGGTGTGTGTGTGTGTATGTGTGTGTGTGTTTGGCCTTGGGAAGTACAGGTGAAGGGGTGTGTGGAGTGTGTGTGTGTATGTGTGTGTGTTTGGCCTTGGGAAGTACAGGTGAAGGGGTGTGTGTGTGTGTGTGTGTGTGTTTGGCCTTGGAAAGCACAGGTGAACGGGTGTGTGGGGTGTGTGTGTGTGTGTGTTTGGCCTTGGAAACTACAGGTGAAGGGGTGTGTGTGTGTGTGTGTGGGTGTGTTTGGCCTTGGAAAGTACAGGTGAAGGGGTGTGTGTGGGCTGTGTGTGTGTGTCTGTGTCTGTGTGTGTGTATTTGACCTTGGAAACTACAGGTGAAGGGGTGTGTGGGGTGCGTGTGTGTATTTGGCCTTGGAAAGTACAGGTGAAGGGGTGTGTGGAGTGTTTGTGTGTATGTGTGTGTGTGTTTGGCCTTGGGAAGTACAGGTGAAGAGGTGTGGGGTGTGTGTGTGTATGTGTGTGTGTGTTTGGCCTTGGGAAGTACAGGTGAAGGGGTGTGTGGGGTGTGTGTGTGTGTGTGTATTTGGCCTTGGAAAGTACAGGTGAAGGGGTGTGTGGGGTGTGTGTGTGTGTGTGTGTGTGTGTTTGGCCTTGGAAAGTACAGGTGAAGGGGCGTGGTGCGTGTGTGTCTGTGTGTGTGTATTTGGCCTTGGGGGTGAGTGATTAAGAGCAAAGAATAGAACGCAAACAAACTCTGTTTTGTTATTATCCCCCCCCCCTTCCTTTTCCTTTCAAGATTTCTTGCCCCGGAGTTTTCCTTCCTAGCAAGCAGTTTGTGTACCTCGGGGTCTACATCCTGAATCAGTACCTGGAGACTGACTACTTCTCTCCCGTCTTCCCCATTACGATTCATCAGTGCATGAGATTTGAAAAGGTGATCTGGATTTTTTCCCCTCTTTGCTAAGTAGAGACATTATGATTTTGCTGTCTGAAGATCTTTTCATGGTTCCGCCACGAAAACAGTTCTTTGCAGAGCTGTTTAGTAAACTTCCTTTTAAAAACTTACTTGTAGGCATCTCAGCAAAGTGCAGAACTGCTGCTGGAGAATTTGTCTTTCACCTAGGTCTGAGCCAGTTTCTGTCAATCTAGTACGAAATACCCTGGTGGATGATTTTCTATTCTTGGGATTCCCATGGTATTTTTTTAACTGGAGCAGAGAGCGTTTTCTGAATGCTTTTGGAGGTGTTAAAAGCAGTTGCATCACATTTATGACAGGAATCATTAGTAAAAGAGCAGACTTTGGAAACAAACATCTTAGGTTCACTTTTAGAAAAATAATGAGCAAACTTAGTTCAGTTCTTCATCTGAAATTGTGTGGCAGAACAAGAAAGCTCTTCAGATTACTGGGTCTCCTTATTTAGGTTTAGCAATATGCTAGATTCCATTTTTTATTTTAAAAAAATGAACCACACCCAGTGTTGTTCAGGACTCACTCCTGGTTCTGTGCTCCTTTGAGAAGTTGAACCAGGGAATGCCAAGGATGCAAGGCAAGTATCTTAATCTCTGTACTAGATCTTTGGTCCATAGATTCTCTCCTAATCAATATGGTTGTGATTGAGAAAGCCGAAGTGTTAACAGCCTTCTTACTTTAGAGTGGTAATTTTCCTCCTATGCAATTGCTGATCATTCTTTGAAATTTGTATTTTAAATTTGAAAATTGAATTTTATTAGTCTTAAGTTTAATGATTTTACCCCAAATTACCGCTGAGGTAGTTCTTTTCTGAAGGGGATGACTGGTCATGTTCCAGGGAGAGGCACTTAGCTTCTAAAACCCTGTGACAATACCCAGAAAATGTCCTATCTGTTTTTATTTCAATTTGTGGGTAATACCTGGGTGTTCAGGGATTACTCTCCGCTTGGTGCTTGGGGGTTGCTTCTGGTGGTGATGACCATGTGGTGTCAGGATTGAATTTGGGGCTGACTCTCAGTCCCCAGTCTGTCTTTTTAACTGGAGATTGTGAGAAGAGGTGGGGATTAACCTTTGAAAGGGCTTGGACTATATACAATGTTTCAATAAATTATGGTTTAAGAATTTAAAAGATCTATCAAATGGAAGTGATAGAGAAATAAATGAAGATGGTTCCTTGGAATATTCTGTCAAAAGTATATGCTGCTACCATTTGGATGTTGGTGGTGATAAAAAAAGTAGATGGTGAAAATCTCACCTCACCCCCTGATTTTCAATTGGATTTATTACCATTTTATTTCTGGACTTGAAAACATTTTTTTTAATAAGATGCCCAATGAATGAAAATCATAGGATCACAGAATGTTAATGACCTTATAGATCATGTAGTCCACTATTTTATTTGTAAAAAGGAAGAGTGAGGGGCTGGAGCGATAGCACAGCGGGTAGGGCGTTTGCCTTGCACGCAGCCAACATGGCCGACCCAGGTTCGATTCCCAGCATCCCATATGGTCCCCCGAGCACTGCCAGGAGTAATTCCTGAGTGCATGAGCCAGGAGTGACTCCCCCCCCGCCCAGCATCACCGGGTGTGACCCAAAACGCAAAAAAAATAAAATAAAAAAAAGTAAAAAGGAAGAGTGAGTCCCCAAATCGCTGTAGACTCTGCTACCTGCCTCTTTCAAATCTATGCCTTTAAAATGATGAGTTACACATAACACATAACATGGACCAATTCTGATTACGCAAAATTCAACTGAGTAAATCATTTTAAAATGAGAAAAATTGCCCTCTTGTGTAAGCTATTTGGGTTGTAGCTTCCTTTCAGTTAGCTCCAGACTTCTTTAATTCTGTTCTTTAGAGGCGAATAGTTGTAGCATGTAATGAGACTATTTTCTCCTCCTTAGACCTTCTTTGTAATTCAGAATTGAATGTTCTAAGGCAGTTAGATAAACAATAAATTTAAAAAAATGTGTGAGCCTTTGTGTTTGAACAGTTCATGTTGATCACATTTGAGGAAATCTTTAGACATGAGGGGATGAAATTACTGCCATAAAATAGAAGAAAACTAACCTTGCCCACACTTGCCAGATAAGGTAAGTTGTTAAGGAATAAATTGATAATAGGGGACAATATTTATTTTTGTAATGAGAGAAGATCTGGCTTTGGAGCAAAGGTAGATTTTAACCATGCTTAAGATGAAAGGCCATTTAAATGAGACCTTTAATGCTAGAAGTCAAACTCCACTGAAAACTTTTGTTTCTTTGTTCTAAAGTTCAGGGAGAAGGGCATCATATGCATTTAATTTGGGTCTTGTCCCAGGCTCTTTAATCTCTAGGACAAAATATGCATACTTGGCAAGAAATCTAGCTAGACAGGTATCGCATTATTTTCCTTGTACTTTTTGATGCACTTTCAATTTAAGAGATTATCTTTTAGATGTGTTTAGATTCTTTGGGAGTGCCGCTCCAAGTGTCCCTTTGCTCTTGGAAAGT